TCATTATATTATTGGATGATGTGACCCACACTTAAGAAAATTAGTTTCCTAGCTTTTTGGAGGAAATGGTGGAAATAAAATGTTAATGAGATGAGATGAGTTGTCCCCATATTATTGGATGATGTGAGTGATTTTTAAAGATGAGATATGATGGCGATGAGATGAGTTGGATGATGTGACTCATTTCTTGTGTTTGGTTTATTTTTAGGAGATGATATGAGATGAGTTGTGGAATGAAAATAATATTTTATTGGATATTGTGGTGAGTTTTAGGGATGAAAATAATATTTTATTGATTTCCATGTACCCTTTTCCTTTTCTTGATTTTTAGAAAACCAACCAAACAGCCCCTAATATGAACATTAGTCGACTACTCTGCTATAAAAAATAATTCTATGAGTCACACCAGGAAAGGAGTAGTCGACTACACATGTTATTAGTCGACTACTTTGTGTTAAATAGATTTCTTTTTCTCAGGTTTTGATGTTTTTATGATTATTTCTTAAACAAAACTCATTCAAATCACATGGAATATAGGAAAAAGGTCTTAGTCTTCTGAAATTTACTATCAGAGATTAGTTCACATGATTTAACTCTTTGATTAAACAGTAATTAGGGTTCAACCTCATAATTATTCAAATTCTCACATAAAAGCATGAATTATCACATGATTAACTTGGTCAATATTATAACTAACATTGAACAGAGATAAGCTTGTTTAAAATATGTTCATGTCATTGTGATCTCACAACCTAGGGTTTAAGCATGATTAATTTACAAGAAAACTCGATTAATTAACAAACTAGGGTTTGCACTTAGGTTAAACTTAATTAATAAATTAAAAATAAAATTAACATTTATCTTAATGATCATGATCATGTTTCTAATGTAAACAGTAAGAAAACCATGTAGATCTAACATTTTTTACAGTTTAATATCAAAAATCTAATCTTTTTCACATTAGATTAAGTTCTAAGCATCATATTTGTCATATTACTTCATAAAAACATGTTTAAAAACTATGGGTAAGGTTTGGATGTAGATGATCTTGCATTAATCTTATGTACAAGCCTCTGAAACAAATAGCAAGCAATCCAAAAGTGCAAACAACTCGTTCTCTCTTGCCACACATTGATGATCTCACCCTCGTGTCGGTATTTTGCTTCACAAAACTCACAAAAAATTGATCTAGGGTTTTTGAGGGGAGAGGATGGCTGCTAGGATTCAGAGATATGATAAAAGAAAATATTTTTGTGAAAAAAATAGGTATTTATAGAGGCAAATCCAAAACAAACTCGTTTGACCCGAACCAGGAAATCTAGTCTGACTGGAAAAATAACATTCAGTATTTTATCTGTAACTTTCGTTTCTAACCTCAGAATGAGGTGATTTAAGATTTGTTGGAATTCTACTGAATATACCTATAACTTTTAACTTTTGAGTTTTTTCAGATTCAAAGTAAATCGATGTGTAAAATATGTATACTCTTAACTGGTCGTTTTTCCAGATTTCAGACTCGTGTATATAGTGCATGATTTCGTGCATGTTTCTCATCTATATTCACATATATAAATTGGATTGATCTCAAATAAGTCTTTAGCATACTCAAACATCAAAATATATCATTTATAACCATATAACATATTTATTATAATTTATTCAAACTTTTGGGCTTTACATGCTCGCTCTCTAAGAAGTTGCTTTCCTTTAGTTGTGATACGTGATATTGTTGTTGAATATCTTGTCCCCAAGATATAATTGTAATGATAACAATTTATTTACTATGTGTATTATATATGCACTAACCTGTCAAATATCTTATTTCTGTGTATCTGCGGTCGACTAATACCATTAGTAGTCGACTATAAAAGCCTTAGTCAAAGTCACATAAACTTCATGTTTACAGATTAGTCGACGACTATGTTTAATAGTCGAGTACTCATTCTCAAATCAAGTCACAGAAACTTCATGTTTACAGATTAGTCGACGACTATGTTTAATAGTCGAGTACTCATTCTCAAATCAAGTCACAGAAACTTCATGTTTACAGACTAGTTGACTAATGTCTTAAGTAGTCGACTACTAACCCTTGAAATTTCTTTAAGATTGTTGTTTTTACATGCTTTCATCTGGTTGTCGTTTTCTTCAAGATTTATGAGTTTTTATCACTTTTGTGAGTTTTGGTTGAGATGTTCTTGCTGACATGTAACGTCGTGGTTTTATAAAAATATTTCAGGTAGTTCTTTAGTAGCGAAAAGAGGCGCAGGCTAACTTGTAGCAGCAAACCTTGCTTTTGCTAGGTAGTACTCCATAGTGTAGTTTTTGCTATCTTTATTGTTGTATCCAGAGCCGGGCCGTACCTGTGCAAGTTGTATGTGTATATATTTTTTTGGGAGATAGAGAATCTCCTATGGATATTTATATTTTAATAAAGTGTTAGACATCAGTAGTACTTGGATATCTGTATAGAGTCTGTTAGATTTCCGTTCTTGTTTAGAACTTCTCACATATATGATATATGTTCACTTTTCAGTTTCGAACTGTGTTATGTCTAAATTTCAGCTTGAGAACATTATAAATCATTATATACCTGTTGTATACCCTCACTTCTGAGATTTTCCATGATATTAAGATAGTTTGGTTAGCTTTTGGGTGTCTCCCTATTGTTGTTTGGAATCTACTAGAGTAATAGCAGCAATGACATATTAAGCTTGCTTATGCATAGAGGAGGGTGTATAGCAGGTCCTAACATCTCTAGGGTTCACCCTGGATTGCAACCAATGTGAAAATCAGGGGCGTTACAGAAAATTCTACAGGATTTTAGAAAATTTATAGTTATACTACTAGTTCACTAAAATGACCATATCTTGAGTTCTACCGCTGGTTACAACACCTCATCGATGAGCTATCTTCTTAATTTTTGCTATGATTTTTCTCGGGCTTTAGGCTTTGTTGAGTTGGCCTCTCTTGGCTTCTTTTTGGACTTCAATAGAGATATTGTGGGCTAAAGATAATCTTCACTTGAGCTCTTATTCATCCAAACTTTTATTTTCTAAAAATGTATTAAAACATATAATAGAAAATAAAATTATTTGAAAGTTATAGGAAAATGAAGGTATAAAAATATAATAAAAATTATTAATCATTTAACCTTTTTTTCCTAAAAATGTACTAAAACACTTAGTAGCAAATAAAATTATTTGAAAACTATAGAAATGAGGGTATAAAAATGCAATAAAAACTGTAACAATACGGAGTAGACTATGTGGAGACTTTCTCACTAAGCTTATATCAGTTCGGTTATTAGTCCCTTTGACATCTAAATAGTCTTGGCCTCTGCATAAGTTAGAGGTCAAAATTGTTTTTCGTCCCTTTTTTTTTATAGTCTGGAGGAGCGGTTGGTATGTCACTTGAATAAGTCTCTTTACGGTCTCAAGCAACCTCTTAGTGTTTGGTTTGATAAGTTTAGTAAGGTCGTCTGCTCACAGGGATTCAAACACAACATAACTGCTTATTCTCTATTTTCACATCATAGTTCTCGTGGCGTAGTTATTCTATTGGCGGCGTAGTTATTCTATTGGCGTGTTTCGATGATATTATTATCCTATGGAGTGACTCACAAGGCATTAATAATGTTAAACGACCCTTGGATTCTCAGTTTCAGACAAAAATTTGAGTCCTCCCTGTTATTTTCATGTGATAGAAGTTGCACAATCTAAGGATGATATTTATCTCTCACAATGGAAATAAATGTTAGATTTACTATCGAAAACAGGTCTATTTAGTTGTCATCCTAGTGACACACCCATGGATCCAACTTTGCAGCTCTCAGAATCTACCTCGGACACCCCACTTTCTGATCCTTGTCCATATCGGCAATTGGTTAGGAAACTTATTTACGTGATAGTAACTTGCTCTGACATAAATAGCATATGTAGTTAGTTATATTAGTTAGTTTCTGCATGCACTGACAAAAAATTCATTGGGGGGTTGTTTATCACATCTTAAATTATCTTAAGAAGTCTCCAAGTCAGGGACTTTTGTTTCATCCATCTCTCTCTCTATCTCTATCTCTCTGTGTGTGTGTGTGAATTTGTGACGCTGATTACGCTGGCTCAGTAGGTGATCATCATTCTACCACTGGTTACTTTGTCTTTTTCAGTGGTTATTTTACCTCTTTGAAAAGCAAGAAGCAGACTATAGTTGCTTCTTCAAGTGTTGAGGTTGAGTATTACTCCATTGCTCACCTAGTAATAGAGATTTTATGGTTTTGATATTTTCTATCTCATTTGGGATTTCCTATATCCTCAACACTCCATTGCATTGTGATAATCAAGCAGCAATTTACATCTCTAATAATCCAGTGTTTTATGCGTGAATAAAACACATTGAAGTTGATTGTTACTTTATACGTGATGAGATTCGCAAGATGGTAGTGTCACTTGCTCATGTTCCCTCGAGTTCTGAGTGGCTGATACTGCTAAAATTATTCTACTCTTTTTGGGATATGTTGGGCTTTGCTAATCTCTACACTCAAGCTTGAGGGAAAATATTAGAAGATATGTTAAGAATATTCTCATCCCTATCTCCATGATTGTGGAGGCGTACGTTAATTATGGATGATTGACAGAGCTAATATAGCAATAAACAAATAATACATAATTGATGTACTTGATCAGGATTCTTAGGGATACAATTAGCTTACTTGTATAAATTTCTTTTGGTGTATATAAACACATCACAATATCACATGTACATGAATCAATATCAATGAAATGGTTCTTAAATCCTCTTATATTTCTTCTCTTTTAACATCAACAAACTCTACTAAAATTAATTCACTTAATTAACAAAATACAACTTGTTTCCATCTCAAAATATTTTTCAACTCGTAGTAATAAAATTGAACAAGTAATTTCAAGAGACAAAATTTATTCTTTAATCTAATGAAGAAGACTAACTTATTGTAACATATTAATTAAAAATTCCACAATCCGGAATAAGAAGATTCGAACCACTCTTTACACAAAAGATACTGAAGTTATACACACCATAATAGTAATTCCATCGTCATACACACCATAATAGCAATTCCATCCACAATGAACTGAAGAAATAAGATCAAATAGAGGTAGGAACACACTCATAAAAAGGAATATTCCTATGTTGAATCACCCAACAATCATCAGTATCAGCAGTGCACGGGTCAAAAACCTTATCATCATCAGAAATAGGCAAACCTTGTTTCAGTAGACCCATTCGCCGAGAACACAAAACTTGCTCAGAAACCACAGGATGTCGTACTGCCTGAAACTCTTGCAGAGCCTTAGCCAAATTCTCTGGCCCCCACTTCTTGATGCAGAGGCCTAAGACTTCTGCATCGAGGATCGACATGTTAGTGCTTCTTGATGCATGGGGAGTTGTTGGATGACCAGCATCTCCTACCTGTTGGTAGTTGGAAAAAGATTTCTCTAATTTGAGTGTAAGATCATATTAAATAATATATATAATATAATTAATATATATATATATATATATATCATATATATTAATATAATGAAAGTAGTTTGGTAACCAGCACAAAAAATTTTTGTGCTTGGTAGTTAGGTTGTCCTCATATCCTAACCACTCATCAAAATGTGACATAATCATCAATGCACTCCCCACCCATATGAATATGATCCCCCAATTTGAATGATGAGGAAATATGACACCTCATACTAAGCAAAAATGTGCTGTAATATAGTATAATAAATCATAGATATTATATATAATATAGTATATAATATAAAAGATTAAATGCGGTGCCTATGTCAAAGAGAGGGATTTTCCTCCTTGAAAATGATGTGCAACAACCCGCATCATGGAATAAAAGTATGAGAGTAATACACATGTGGGATTGTGCCATAATACTTCAAGAAAAATCACCTCCTAATGACAAGATCACATATTCTATACCAGATGGGATTGTGCCACATATTTTCAAGAAGGAAATCTCCTCTTAGACAAGGATGCCCATTTTTATCTCTCTCATCTACTCTCTCATCCATCTCTCTCCTCTTTCTAATAAATATATAATAATATATAATATATATATATAATAGTATATTTATAAATTATATAGATATATATATATGAGATAAATGGGATCCTTGTCCATAAAGGAGGGGAATTTCCCTCACTTGACAGCCTCTAAAATTACATATTGGGCAAGACATTATGATGATCCCCTCGTGTGAACGGACTCTACATATTCAAAACCCCAAAACACAGCCAAGTTTGGGGTGGAATCCGTCGTCGCTTTGACCCTACACAGTCGAGGCCATGTGAAAAGTTTATTCTCAAAAACTTAAAATTGATACGAGTGGAATTGAAGGGTCAAACGACACGGGTTCACCCAAACTTGGTGTGTGAGATTTAGAATAAATCGAGATGCAGTTCAACGGAGCGGATCATCCACAATGGGCGCGCAATCATAGTGATTTTAGAGGCGTCAAGTAGGAGGAAATCCCCTCCTATGACCGAAGGATACGCTATTTAATCTATATATATATAATATAATATATATATATATATATATATATATATATATATAATAATATATTGTAACGATCCGTAGAGAGTCCAAATAAAAGAAAGGGGTAAATTTTCAAAAAAAAGGTAAATTGTGGATAGATCCCCTACAGTTCTATTGTTGCTCTATTGTTGCAGAGAGCCCCCACCCCCAAACTATCGCCCAATTGCTTGTAGACAACCTGAATGTATTTTTTTTAACATTTTTACCCTCGGAAGGTCTATTTCTCAAAGAAATTAATTTTCTCTTTCCTTGAAGGTATAAGAGTATAGAAAGTTCACCCGGGGGTCTATTTACAACAATAGAACTAAAAGATTCTATACACAATTGGGCGATAGTATAAGGGGTTTATCTCACCCAATAAAGTATAACGAAATTTGGGGGTTTTGCACAAAACTCTCATAGGCTTTTCTCATAGAGGAAACTACCACGTCTAATGGCAGTTAAGTTTTGACAATTTTGCCCTTATGCATTTTATATTTCTTCTACAGTATCATCTTCCCTTCTCCTATTTTCAAGGGTATAGTTAGAACATTTATCCAAGGTGTTAACACAGTGAGAAATAATTTTCAATAGTTTGTGATATTTTTTCTAGTGTTAATTGCAAATAGACGCACTGTAATATCATTGTTTGAACTTACTATCCCTCCAGTTATTACTGACAGACCTCTTGAGGGAAACTTTTTTACTCCTTTACCCCCAGAGAAAGAGCAAATTGTTTTTGACAAATAGTCCCCAAAGGGTAAACGAGTTGAAAAGCTTCACTCCGGGAGTAAATAGGCAAACACATAACTAGAGGGTACTAAGTTCAAAACAGCGATACTACAGGGAATCTATCCACAGTTCTACGATTTTGAGATTTCATGTTAGTTTTCTCCAATAAAAAAAGTTGGAGAATCCCCCCCACCCTTAAAACACCCACCAAAAAAAAGAAAAAGCTCACCCCCCAATAAAAAAAAGTACAGGAAGTTTAGTGAAATTTACTCTAAAAGAGGAAACTCTCCTGAAAAAGGAAATAAGGTAGGGGAAATGTATGAGAAGGAAAATTGTTATATTTAGCAATACCAACACTACGTTGTCCCAGCATAGTTGTGGTGGAGGATCGCTATCGTAGATCACATTGATGAAAGGCTCCTTGGTTTCTTTCATGAGCATAGCTAATTCTGGGTTCCATATTTTGTTGGCCTCTTTGTGCATAGCATTGATCATGTCGTTGCTCACCTTTTGGGTCACCGAGCTTCCCTGTATAGACAATTAAAACATTTTGCTAAGAATTCATGCATCAAAGTGAAGAGGAAACAACGAGGTTCAGAAAATTGGAGACGAAACAATTTGAAAGTTGCGCGGTCCACCGTAGCTGGCGCGGCGATTGCCACGGACGTGCACAAGGAACAGGAAAGTCTCTGGACTTTTGGCTGTCGCCTGCGTCGACTGGCACGGCGGTCGACCGTGAGACCATGTAAGTGTTTTTTGGGTTCTGTCGTTGGCCACGGTCAACCGCGACTAGCACAGCGGTCGACCGCAGATCGGATCTGGGCCTGGGTTTGGTTTCATATTCTGTTTGGGATTTGGTGTTTGGTATTAATACCAACACATTTTAGGGTTTCTTTGGCTTTGATTGGGAATTGTTTTGGGAATATTGGAGCACAGAAAAGAGAGATCTTTCTGAGCTATTTGTTAGGGTTATTGTTTGAGAGATTGAGAGCTTTGTTGGTGAGATTAGTTGATTGGTTTGAGTGATCTTGTAATCTCAGTTTGTACTCTCCTTTTCTATTAGTGAAAACACATCCCCTTCTTGCCCCGTGGACGTAGGCAACTTGCCGAACCACGTTAAAATTGGTTATTTGTGTTTGCGCCGTTATTTTGATTGTGTTTGGCCTTCTCACGGCGTTAGTTTGATTTGATTTCTCGAAGCACATCGGTTAGGTTTTAGCTTCCGCCGCGCACAACGCAAAGTTTATAACAGTGTATTGTGATGTTACCAAACCCGTATTCATAAAATCACTTGCCTCCTAAATTAAGCAATCTAATCATTCAATTTCTTAAAATTACCGGCGCTTCAATGTAGAAGTAATTCTTAAACATCTACAGGTGAGTATGTTGTACTCACAGATAACAAATTTGATTTTCCAAATATATGTTACTTAAGTGTCCAGTGCATGAAGTACTTGAGCTCGCACACTTTTTTCTAGAAACATAAATGGCTAATATACGATGTTTCAAATTGGAAAAGCAAAGATAATATTGCAAATGTACAAGGTTTTGATTAAAAGGGATAGTACATACCTCCCTATTTGGTTCAGGTGCATCAAAATACCAAATCCAGTTGAGCCTTTTCTTTCTAAGTTCAAAAAGCACGCAATGGTTTCCATTTGCATAATCAAAATATAGACAATTTCCAAGTTCTGGATAGGCCTTTTTTATGCCAAGAATGACGTCTGATCTTTCATCTTCTTCGAAATCAAATACACCTCTCCATGCTGAGTACCCCGAGTACCTTAAAATGTATAAAATAAAATAAAAATACGCTGGAAAAGTGCAGTAAGAAATAGTCCTCATAATCGGGACATATAAAAACTAAGGTATAAATTATCATCTTCACAGGTGCCAAATAATCATTTCACCAAAAGCTAGCCAAGACATAATACCTCACTTTCATCATAGGCACCTAGGCATCTAAATATACATACGTACACATGCATACACAATTAAACTTGTAAAGCTCTGTATCTGAACAGAACTTTTTTTTGAAAATAGAAATTCTAGACATATGTTACTTGCTCTCTCCATACAAGGGTAGAAACAAATCCTTTCATCATGAAATCTCAATTTTACTCGAGTAATATACTAACCTCAGTTTATGATCAGGAATAAAATTATGCCGTATCATTGACAGGGAACCATCTGCTGCTACCAATAAATCTGCCACCACTTCCTTGATCTCATTAGTTTGCAGAACTTCAAGTTTGACCACAACGGAAGCCTTGTCATTAGAAATGCATAAAGAAAGAAAGCGATGACCCCACAGAACTGTGTCTGGCATTAGTGCTTTGTATATGACAGAGTGAAGGTCAGTCCAGTGAGCACATCTATAAGTGAAATTATCGTCTCTTAGTAATAAGCGACTTGTCTTCTTTTCTTTATCAACTGCCTGATGCTGTAAAGTGAACAGGAAGCACATAGAAATATTATGGTTTTATCATACATTCTTTACAATTACCTCCAAAATTTAATGAGACATAGAAGAAACTATATGTTTGCTAAAAGAATAAGAGAAAATCTTATTACTGGTAAAATCTACAGTAATCTGAATGCAATGGAAGTGGTGAAAATTGTTTGATACACATTGTTGTTTCAGGATAAGTAATCCAGAGCTTATGAGAACATTGAGCTGGGTAAAGTGTAGCTATTTACAACCATTCATATAACTTGAAGAGTTTAAAATAAAAAAAGGAGTTCTCAATAAGTTATTAATGGTATTTGTCACAACTAAGAGCATGTTTGGGAACTGTGGATTATAACCTACTCGGATTATAATCCACAAATGGGATATAATTTAAGTCGATCATAATCTAGAGCGTTTGGTAAATTTAGTGGATTGTAATCCTCAATTGTAGAGTGTTTGGCAAATGGATGGATTATAATCCATCATTATATTATCAAAATGACTAAAAAGGACATGGGGTTGGAGCTGAGTTATTAAATGAGGCATTGAATTTTGTGAAATTACTAGGGGTATAATTATATTTAACTTGGTCAAACATCATGGCCTATAATCCACCAAAAAATAAGTTAAGGTATCCTAGCTTATTTTCTGGTGAATTATAAAACAAAATAAGCCACTTGCCAAACACCTCAAAGTGATTTATAAGCCACTTTGACTATTTGCCAAACATGCTCTAATTGTATATCACGTGTAGTTTCATCTCACTTTAGCCAACGGAAGTGTGACTTGAAATCAGGTTCTATATGGATGCAAACTGCATATCCGACACATTTGAGATTTGACAGTGACGCTCTAGACTTCAAACATTAACACAGACCCTAAACAATTCAACAAAAACATGACATCCCGACAACGCAGTACGTCAGAGTTAAAAAGACCAACAAAAAATGGAATAAAATGAGTTTCGTTTAAAGAACCTACATGCAAACAGGATGTCTCTAAAGCCCCGATGGGAACAAAGAAATCTCAACCACCCAAGTGGCTTGCAGAGGTTTGGCTAAAATTCTAAATCATAATCTGATAACATTCGCGTTCAATACTGAATTTGAAGTAAGTGGTGAAGTAAGTGGCTGACTGGCTGGCCAGAAGAAAAATAAATAGGACAAGGCTAGGGAAGGATAGTGCACCAATTCAATAGTGAGAGGCAAAGTGATATCATGCAGGATGCTTGGATCCCCCAACCACCGGTTAATCACCTCCCTTGCCTGGGGCTCAAGGCTGAGCCCTGCACCTGTTGGGCTGCCACTCGGCGGAGATATAGATTTCTCGATCACAGTTACTTCCCACCCCGTGCTGATCAGAGCATGGGCACATGATAAGCCTGCTATGCTTCCTCCCACTATGATTGCCTTAGGTGTTTTCTTCTTCTCTGCCTCCATTAAGGTTAATCCAGCAAAGGGAAGACCATAATTGCAGAAAGTCTATATAAATTGATGTGTAGACGGCATTGTCTTATTATTTGTACTCTTCTATCATTGTTATCATGTGACAACCTAATGAGACGGAAAAAGAGAAGTGCCATGTATACTTGCATTATTTATAATAGGATAGGATTACAATGTCCGCAGGTTTGTCTTCAATATAAATTTTTAGTTAGTTTGGTGGTAAATACTTCAAGAAACAACAAAGCTAACACTTGTAAACTTTTGATCAGTGAACAGAAGGTTATTTACCTAATGATTCGTGCAATTGGCTCCAAAATTTTGGAGCCGATTGCACGAATCTTTAGGTAAATAACCTTCTGTTCACTGATTCAATATAGATCAGTTTTGGTCTACAACCCAGTCCTAGATCTACCAGATTCAACTGCTATACTACGGTCGTCTGTGCTATCATAAACCTACAAGTTATTTGCCCTTTAAGTACCCTAGAGTTTATTCCATCTCACTTTGGTACCCAAAAGTTTTATTCCCAAAAAAATCCCGAAGTTTTACCTACTTTTTTATGTTGACACTCCTAAGCATTCCTTGCCCCCAAAAAAACCCAAGTTCAATAAAATTTAACTTTGCCCAAACTCTAACAAAAGTAAACTTTGGTACCCAAACTTTAACAAAAATTTGAAGTATGCATACAAAATTATGTTTTGTTGAACTTTGGGGCAACTTTTTGGGGACGAACAACTTTGGGGTATCAAAGTTAAAAATAAGGTAAACTTTGTGGTAGTTAGTGCGATTAACCCTAAATCTAGAAATAAACATTACAGATATATGCAGGTGCTTATTATCTACAATATTAACTTACAAGAGCTGTAAATACAATTTGAATTTTTGATCTATCAATTTCAACAAAAAATTTATATCAATGTTATCATAACTCGCAGACAATAATGACAATGGGCGTACCACTAGCTGCTCAATACAGAACAATGCCAGGTAAAATAGACTCAACAAGTAGAAGGAACACTCTCGAAGAAAGGCATATTTCTTTGCCAAAGCTGCAAAGATTCCTCTAGAGTGGCTGTCATTGGATCAAAATCCTTTTGATCTTCAACAATCAAACCTTGTTTTATCCGTCCTAATTTACGAGCATGCAAAACTTGCTTTGAAACAACTGGAAGCCTGATGGACTGGAATTCCTCAAGAGCTGACCCCAAGTTCTCTAAACCCCACTTACCCAGACATTTCCCAAGAATTCCAGCATCAAGAATGGACATGTTAGTGCTTTTCAAGCCATGAGGAGTTGTAGGATGTGCTGCATCTCCAACCAATACCACATTATCCCAATAAAGTTTGGGTAAAGGATCGCTATCGTATATTATATTGATGAAAGGTTCCTCTGTTTCTTTCATCAGCTTGGCTAATTCGGGAATCCAAACCTTCTCTGCCTCTTCATGCATCTTGCTAATCATTTCATCAGACACTTTCATAGTCACTGAGCTTCCCTGCAACACAATTTAATAAGTTCTAAAGTTTAAGAAAAAGATAGAATTGTGTTTACTTAGTAGAAACATTATTCAAACAAAGACAAGAGGACGTTGAAAATATAGGCATATCACCTTTTGTTCGGGTTCAGGTCCATTGACGTACCAAATCCAATTGAGCCTATTGTCTTTGAGCTCATAGAGTACACAGTGTGTTTTATGTGCCAGATCAAAGTACAAACAATCTCCAAGTTCTGGATAGGCTTTGTACATCCCAGTTATAGTTTCTGAACTTTTTTTACATGAAAAATCAAGCACCCCTCTCCAAGCTGTGTAGCCTGCATACCTGTAACATCAAGGAAAAACAAAGAAAGAAATGTCAGAAGAGGATTATAATACATTAATTACGTCAAAGTTTAATGACAGACCTCAGTTTGAAATCAGGAAGGAAACTTCGACGAATTGACGATAAGCACCCGTCAGCAGCAACCAGCAAATCGCCAACAATTTCAACAACTTCAGCAGTTTGGGTAACTCTGGCTTTAATCATAACTGAAGACTCGTCAGAAGAAGTTTTGAAAGAGAGGAATTGGAGACCCCACAATAAAGTTTCAGGTGGCAGAGAATTATATAGAATCGAGTGGAGATCTGCCCAATGAGCTGCTCTGAAATTGAAATTTTCATCCCTGACTAGCGTCCGAATAAGCTTCTTTTCACTGTCTACTGCCCGATTCTGCATACAAAATTGTTCATTTTATTAGTCCATACATCTTTTCACAATACATGTTCTGTTTTTCAAGAATAGGTAAATCCATTTTTTGTTCCGTCTATGTCTCGAGCCTTGTCCCCTCCAATTTTACACCCCTATTAATCTCTCCCCAATCATTTAATTTCGGTTGATTTCTTGACATGTTTAAATTCTTATAAAGTAGAAAGTTTAGCACATTAAGCATATATTCTGTTCAGTGTAGATAGTTTTGGTAACTCCATTGCGTCATCCCATGT